TGTAAATTTCTTCCAGCCCTCCTTCTTCATCCAAAGTATGCATCAACTTCTTCACCACATCAATGCCTTCCTTTTGCTGTGCAGTTAATCTCTTTCTCGGGAATGAGTTTTGGTGCAGCTGCGGGTAGATGCTGGCACTTGTATCTCCATGTCCATCACCATCATCCACTGGAAATGGCAAACTAAGAACACAAACAGTAGTTAAGTTTTCTTCTGAATGACAATAACCAACCAAAACATTCACATCTTCTATGTACAAAAAGCTGCATGGCTCACAAAGCACAGAAATATACAAGGCCTAATTGGCATTGGTAATGTCTTGAACAGATTGCTGAAGGTATTCTGGGCATCACACTTCAGACTGCCTGTAACAAAGAACTAGAGAGTAAAGACAACGCAGATAAAAAAAAAAGCAACAAGATTGTCATTATTTTCCTTTACTCTTTCCTGTCTAGTCTTGCTGTAATCTTAGCTTTGGATCCACAAATGGCTTCAATGAATTTATTAAGTCCACACTACAGCTCCTTAATGAATGTAGGATACAGGTGAAAATAAATATTAATTTTCAGAAATAAAATTCAATTTTAATTTCCTCCACAAAACTGTTACCAGCAGCTATTGTTAACACCCACACAAAGTTCTGCTTTAAAAACAAGCTCCTATCAGAAGGCCTAGAGTGTGCTTTTACCACCATGTGCGACAGTGAACACATCTCAGCACTACCAGCAATTCCTCAGACCAATGCCTACATCAATACCAAAACAACCAAGGAATTCTTGTTTTAACAGTGAAGACAGAGTCACAGAATGGTTTGGGTTGGAAGGGACCTTTAAGATCATCTAGTACCAATCCCCCCATTATATGCAGGATACCTCCCTCCAGACTAGGTTGCTCAAAGCCCCGTCCAGCCTGGCCTTAAATGCTTTCATGGAGGGGACTCTGCTTCCATTTTCCAATCCCACCACTGTGAACACTTCAATTTTTCAAATTCACCCCCTCTCTTCAGTATCATTTTCCTTTTGACAATACAATCAGGCTACATGCATCTAAAACATTACACCACTATTTTTCCCAGTATCTTTCTTACCTAAAAGGGATCTAGGCTGCTCCTGTGACACAATGTAACACTGCAATACCATGGAAAGTGCAGTAATGACAGCATAGTAACCAAGTTCTAAGCTGCAGCAAGTAAGGATATGCCCAAACGCAGCAGCCGTAGACACAGAAACAAAGGAAAAAATGTGCATACTTTCAGAAGGACTCAGATACACGGGGGATCTCCAACAAGATACCCTTGTCTACAGTGCCAGCTCTTAAATGAGGTCTAGGAAGGGGTAGATCCTGGCTCCACTCCTTCCGCTCACCCAATGCACTGCCTGCACCCAGGCTCCCCTAGGTTGGCCCTGCCTTCCTACCACATGCTCAATGACTGGTTCAGGCTGTAACTTAGCATTTCCACTACACACAACCACCTCTTCTTGTCTATTTCTGTCACACTGTTTCCCTCTTCACTGCTTACATAGATTTTCTGTTTCCCATTTTAGACTTTGGCTCTAAGCTAGAAGTTTACCTGCAGAAGAAACTATCATTTTAACATACATTTGCACCTAATCTATCAACAGGACTAGGTTCACTATAATTTACTGCACATGTAATTCATGTAACTACTTATCATTGCTACACCTCTATAGAAACAAAGTACCAAATGATCACCAGGTCCTTCAAAACCATTAAGAATGAATACCTATTTCTCTTTAAAATCACATAGTGTATAATAGTCACATCCATACTTACAAAAATTGGAGTGAAGTTCCTGTTTTCTTCAAGTTAGCGATGATAATTTCCAGCTGATCCTCACTGACAGGACTACTAAGGTCTGTAAACAGTTCAATATGTCTCTTCTCAAATTTCTTTCCTCTTAAAATACAAAAAAATACATGTTTACATGTCAGAAATATTATCTCTAAGGCTCTTTTCTAATTCTGTACTTGTAAAACATACACACAAAAAAGATAGGAGCTGTTTTCTCTATCATTACTCATATTCCATGTAAATTTTAACCCTTATCCGATTCCCCCAGAACATTTCAATTCCCCAAAATTCAGGACTCTATCCCTGTATAAATCACTAACTACTTCTACATGACTAGCACTGATTTTGAACACTGGAGGTACAATGTTAAGAACTACATTGAGGTTGAACTTCTACTGGAACATCAGTTCACTGATTGTTAGGAAGAATCACACTTCCAGTCTAAGTAAATTTGTCCATAAGTTTGTAACACTTGGGGTGCCAACATTTTCTACAGCTTATTTTCTCCTAGCACAAATTTCTCTCTCACACTGCGTGTGTTCACAGTCACGTTAACTCCAACAGACTTTATTTTGCTAGGCCGAAAAAACATCATCTTTTTAGTTTTCTTTGTAAGTTATGCCACTATCTGTGTAAATTTATTAGTCCTTTCCTATGCTTTTTAAGATCTAATTCACTTTATTATTTGAAAATAGATCACAAGAAAAGTGACACTGTTTAAGTAAAGCACTTGTGTCTTGTATGATGGCATTAGTAATTTACCTGCATAGTTTCCAATTGAATCAAAGTTTGTAGATTGTCTAGGGAAGCTAGAAGTCTCCTGGGGATTCTTCAGGGACAGAATCATGTAGCATGATGTTTGTTTGGTTATTAAAACAAAACAGTTTGAATATTTACACAATCAGAAAGCAGGTCAGCTCCAAAGTGAAAGCTCAGAATTCTATTAAAGGCTTTAGGATACATACTTACAATGTTTCCTGCTGAAGCAAGTCCATACACACAATAATTGCATCCAGAACTAAGCAAAATTAAGGAAAATCTCATTCAGAATATTAATCACAGCACAGAAATGTTTTGTTTTTCAAACTATCCTCTGCCTTTACCCCTCTCCCCAAGCACTGACAAACATGCACTTTAAGCAATAAACATTTTGAGAAGTACACTTCAAAGATCTACTGTGCAGCAGGCTTCTAGATAACCTCTGTGATTTTCAATCTTGTATCCTTCCCACTCACCTCACAGTGAGATAATACGAGGTCTGATTCAAAGCCCAATCTTAGCTGCCAATAAGGAGGCTCAAGTGCAATGAAAGAGAAATCTAATACACATTACTTGGTATCCACAAACAAAATTTCCTTGTAATTTCAAAATCCTTTCATCATTTTCCTCACACTAATTTACCTTCAATGCATCTGCATCTAACAACCCTTCAGTAGGTTCCACTTCATCATAATTTTCAGCAGAAACGTATTCTTATTGCTGTGAGCAAATCTGCTCACCCACAGAAAACAGAACACGACTCTACTGCTAATGTACAACTGACTGGCCAGATCTCACAGTTAGCTGAAACAGATTCTGCAGTCTGAAGAGAATTCACAACAATCTTGATATGGTCAGAAAAAGGAATGGCAATCGAAGAAGTTATAACGGTATTTAAGTGAAACACAAGGGAAAACTCTTCAGACTGCTTTCTTCTAAAACTCACCTTATGCAGCTAATAGAACAAACAACTCACAATACCAAGTGACATTTGGCAATATTAGAAATGCTTAAAGTAGAGATTTGTCAGATTTATTTCTATATAGTCTGGCTTCTGGTACTTCTGCTGATTCAAGGTACACATGAATAACATTTCATTTGAGTCAAAAGCATAAACCGAGTGCTGCAATGCTACAATTAGAAATGCATACCTTATTTGAGGCCTAAAACTACACTGTTACCTTTGTTCTCTTTAATTAAAAGAACACTTTATTAGAGCAATTATTCCTTAGGGCCAAAGCTGTATTTGAAAGGTTAAAAGAAAGTAGGAAAGTTGCTAATCTGCCTGTGAACAAACTTACAACAGCAAATTAGTTGAACTTTTAACAGCCCTTACACTTTCAGAACCAAACCTGAGCTCACTTCACAATGTTGACTTCTACTCTTCGCCTTAACTGAATCAGTTCAAAGCCCTCTACAGCAAAAGGATACAGTCTGCTTGCTGAGAGCCTAGCTGAATCTTATTTTGAATGTCTTCTAACAAGTCAAAATCTGGCAGCATTAGAGACCGATGTACAGTGATGTTTTGGTATTGATCCCTACTGGCGAGGTTATTCTTAGTACCATCTGTGCCAAACAAAACTACAGCAACTTCATCTTTACTCTCAGCAAAAACCTGGAAAGAGAAAATACAAAAACAATGTGGTAACACAGGTAGGTCCATATACACCCACGTTAAGCAGACAGCAAGCTGAAACGATTTTGAGATAATGTTAATAATCTACTTTTCAGTGCTATCCTGCAAAAATGTAATCCCATGGGGAGCTCACTGATTTAGATACAATTAGAATAGCAGACTGGCATAGGGATATCTAGGATAAAACAAGTAAAACGGGCTGACTCGCTTCTTGAGATGAGTCCTCACTATGGGTCATCTTAGAAATGTTTAAACATTTTAGAGAAAGTGTAGTTTTCTATCTTCCCTGGACTAAATGAAGAGAGCAAACAATCCGAGCACCACATCTTAGCCATAAAAGCACAGCTGAAACACAGAGGACTGTTCCACATAAAAACAGACTACTTCCTGCTTACTTCTCATTTATTCCAATGATTAATACATGAAGAAACACTCCACAGCACACAGGTGGTATTGCTTCCTTTTTAAGCAGCTTTTTACCACATTCAGAGCCACAAATACCTGTCGCTGCAGAAACTTGGTCACAACCCTCTTGGCTTGTTCCAGTGCAGACTCCTCCCCAGGAGCAGAACTGCTCATTGTGATGCCTACGTCCAGGCACAGCACTATGGCTGACTAGAAAAGAAATACAACAAAAAATAAGGAATTCCTTTCACTCCACTAACTACACCGCAGCCCCAGCGTTGACGGTACGGCCATTACCACATAGGGACAGGGAAAAAAAAGAAAAAAAAAAAACATCTCCCGCCTCTCCCCGCTCCCCTCACCTTGCCGCCGCGCGCCATCTTGTCAGCGCCGCGGTGCGCCGCGCTCAGCGCTCCGGCCGGCGCCTGGAGCCCGGGCAGCGCCACCCAGCGGCAGGAGAGCGCGAACGGGGCTGAGGGAAGAGGAGGGGCGGGGCGGGGCGGGGCGCCATCCCGGTCCCGCGCTACGCTTGTGTGGGGATGGAGCCGAGGGCTGCCAGGAGGTGAGTAGAGAAGAAAAGATGGGGGCGTGGCACTCGTTTTCCTCCTCGGGAAGTCCGCGATGTGTTCCAAAACGCCACGTTTGTAGCCGTGGTTTTGGCGATGTGCTTCGCTTTCATATCGAGCTGTGTCTGGAGTCGAAGAAATGAGCCCTTTCTCATCTTCCCACACCACCGTGCTTTAGAAGCCTTGGTTTAACTGAGAGAGATGGGGCAGCTTGGCGACGTGAGAAACGTCTTGAGGGAAACCTATATACAAAACCCTCAATTCCAAGGGAATGCAGTACGTGGTCCTTCTGGATGTCTCTGAGGTCACAGATTCATCAGCCGAGGAAATCACACCTGCTTCTCCTGTTATTATTTACATATGTGGGAAGAATAACATAAATGGGATCTTATAACCCACTCAGTAAAATAGAAAAAAAAAAAAAAAAAAAAAAAACCAACTTCCCCCTTTACACTGCCAAATTTCCTCAGATCTCTCCAATATTCAAAGGAAAACTGACAAATCATTTCTGAAGCAAACTTTAATTCCTATTTCCTTTGGAGGTCCACAGCATCCCCTTAGAGGAAATCATCAGATGTGATTAATGAACTCCATCTGGGGACACTGGGGCTTTGTTAGCCTTTGTGAGACTTGAAGATCATTGCTGGTAAATGCTTGCCAAAATATGCTTGTGATTAATTGGCTATTTCCATTTTACAGAATGCCAGTCTCTGGGCATAAATAATAAATATGTGAAGTATCCCAGGGACTCTGCGTTCAAGGGTGATCATCTGTAATCTCATTTGTAACAAAGTGAGTCAGACCTCAGTTTCATTGAGATTCTCACTCATTTCTCTGCTTATTCTTTTTTTGGTTACTCTTCTTTCCAACAAAATAATGAAGCCTGGTTAAAAATGATTACTCTCAGGAAGCAGCAACAAGGGGGCTGTCTTGTTTCACTTCGCTGGATGCCTTTTCCTTTACAACAAGGAAAATGGCTTCCCTGTCTCCTTACAAGAAGCACTGTAAAATCCAGAGAGTTGCAGCTGGGCCCCAGCTGCTTGTGACAGCACTGAGCAAATGTGAATGGGTTCAGTGTAAAAGCCGGATGACTTTGCCTTTCTCCCTTTTGGAGAAACACCTGCTTGCAAACACAAGCCAAAACTGTGCTGCAGACCAACATTACTTATGATGTCTGTTTGGTAATTACTGATGGTTCCCCCAAGAGATGTATGTGTAACATGCTCTGTTTGTTTAGTTGCTTCTGTGAGAAGCACCTGCAGAGAAAAAAAAAAAACCTCAAGCACTGATTTCATTCTCTTAATCAAAACTAAACTTTCACTGCGAGGATCAGCTGTAACCTGCTGCAGGTCCACAGGGTTTGTTCTTTGAATGGCTATGACTCACAGATACTTAGAACATTGCAAAATTCTGTCCCTAATGAAATTAAAAATTTATATATATATGTGTGTGTGTATATAAATATATATATACACATCTTTCTGAGAATTTAACAGTTCCCATCTGTTGGTCAACCCGCTCAGTCCATCTTTATTTCAGTTCATGCTATGAAAGGGAATGGATTTACTAGGAAACACTGGAAAATGATTGGGCCAGGAGAGTTAGAAAGCTAAATAGGAAGGACTGTATCAGATTATCCAATCTCACCTGAACAGATAAAAGAAAAACATAGTTATGAGAGGTAGTAATCAGTGAAAATGTGTTGATTTGATATGTTCTGCCAAGTGCCTTCCAGCTTAGAGGCTCTGAGACTGGCTGCTGAATTTACGGTCTCCACTTTTCCTTTAGCCAGTTCCTTTCTCTTGACTATTCACTTAATGTACATTTCTCATGCAGACTAAAACTTCCACTGGACGTAATACACTGGAAGAGGCTTTATTAAGGTTCCACAGAGAGGAAAAGTGAGAAATCACAAGCCAGTTCTGTTTACAATTCATTTTCCTCATACAGTGTTTGCTTCTTTAAATATGAGTCTATGGCAGTGTGAATTACAATCTTCTGTAACATATGCATCCCATTCTGCAAGACTGCTTCCCATCCAGTAGTTCTACCTGTTGTTAGCTGTTCCCAATAAGTAGCACGTTTGTCAAAAAAGTTGTCCCTTTTTTCTTTCAGAGCATTTATGAAAAATGTGGAGATAGTTTTTTAGTTATAATCTCTGCCGTGGTGCTTGCCATCCCTCTCAGTTCAGCATCATTTTCAGATTTCATAAGCATATCTTGCAACTTCAACCTAATACTTTGTGCTTGTATATTGTGAAAGAGGTTTAACTATAGAAGAAGCTATGTCATTGTCCTATAAGCAGTAGTCTTATTGGGATTGAAACAGGACTGTGCACTGAAGAAGTCTTAAGACCTCATTTGTTAGAGAAATTAGAAGATGTAGGGGGGGGAAAGAAAATCTTATAATTATGTCAGGACATTTGAAGAATGAAGTTCTCTGATTTTTTTCAGCAGATGGCATAGTTCTGATTTACAAATTATTCAAACCCCTGTTTCTTGCCAGTAGGCAGTGGTGATGTGAGTCACATCTTCTTACTGCTCATTTTGAGGTACCATTCAGATCTGTGCATGTGCTGAGCACTCACAGGTGTTCACAAAAGGAGCTTTAGTTTGAGTGCAGAAAATGCCTTATTATGCTAAAATTCTGGAAAAAAAAAAACAACAAAAACACAGCTGCATGACATCTCAAAGGGATGCTGAGACCTCAAGGACATTTCTGTTTTTTAAAATCCTTGTGCCTTTGTTGCCATGTAAAACTTCATCAGGATTTATGTCATGTGCTATTGCCAAAATATTTATGTGAGGTACTTGGATATTACAGAGGCATGTTACTGAGAGATTGTTCTGCACAATCTCTGATCAAATAGGTTTTGACCACGCTTAGAAATGTAAGGGGTAAACTAAACGTTAGGGTGGAGTCTCACTATATGCTTTCACATGCTCTACCATATAAGGCTGGCAAATCAGAGAAAGAGGTGTGAAGATTGCTTCAGAGCAGATATCCATAAAGAATGTGGAGGAAAAGAGGGATTCGTTTTATATGGATATCTTTACATTTTTCGTGATGTAACTTCTTAGTATTTGTCACTGCACTTTCACAATAAACAAGCAACACTTGCATGTATTTATAAGGCAGAAGAAATAATACATTTTTCCCCCGTTTTTCAGATCAGCCACTGGAGGGCGACATGATCCCAAGTCACACGTAAAGCTCTAAGCCTGCTAAATTGGGTAGCACGCACCCAGCAAGCACCGACAGTCAGCAAAGGAATTTCTGCATAAAGGTATGGTAAAAAACGAGACGATTGCAAAACAGAAGAAACCAATTTGTTTTGTTTGTATTTTATGTTTTCCTCCTTTTGAAGCTCGATTTTAAAACTTCTTCATACATCTAAGTCTATTAAGCTGTGTTTCTGTTGAGGATGATGTTTTCATGAGTTCTAAATCCCTGGATTAGCCAAAGCATTTCTAAGGGAGACTATGTGAGGCCCACTCAGCCTGGTATCACAAGAGGTGAAATATTTCCCACTGCTAAGTAACTGAAAACCTGACACGTGTTTCTACTATTGAAATAACTCTGGCAGACTTTTCTGGATTAGTTGTTAAATCCATTACAACATATGATTTCTTTTTACATTACATTTTAGAAGACTGTCAGCAGAGTATAATTATTAGAAATAGTTTGGCAAGGTTGAACTTCAAAGCATCTGGATTCCTTGAGAGAAACTGAGAGTTCACGTCAGATACTCTTGTGCTGGAGAAAGCAAAAACACAGTGAGAGAATATAAAATGGAATGTTTGAGAGAAAATAAAGACAGTATTTTATAAAGAAGTACTAAGTACAGAGGGAGTGTCAATAAAATGAAATGGCAACTTAGAAAGCAAGGGAAAGCACATGTTGCTGAACAGAATACAGCAAAACAATATTTTGCCCAGGAATCTTGTATTAGCTGCTACTGGGTTATCTCAGAGGCAAAAATTAATCTTGTTCTCCACACACTCTTGGTTTCCCACTCTTTCACACCTCTTTTGTGCTGTTTTTATTTGTTGACAGTAGCCATCCAGCTGTGTTTTCTGCATCACTGGAAAGTTTTCATGCAGGGAGATTGTACTGGACAAAGTAGCTAAGATAATTCTCTGTGTAAAGGATTTGCTTTGTGAATTCAGAAGCATAAGCCTTTAGTATTCTCCCTGTTTTGCCTCCACTCCTCCCCCAGGATCACACACGTATGCACATACACACACTCTGGCTAATTAGTGGCCCAATTTAATTCTCATAGCGCAGGAGTTTGTGCTACGAGAATTCATTCAACTGGCCCACATGAGGGAACAAGGATAGTGATCAGCTGATGAACAAGGCTCTTTCCAAGTTGGGAAGAGAGGATCCCATTTTAAATTGCTATTTGTTTGCCTGCAGCTGGAGGCAGATTGAAATTAGACTGAAAGAAATTTGGAACTTTGAAGAAATACATTTTTGTTTATTTTTAAATAGACAAAGCAGATGTTAATTTTTAAATAATTTCCTCTTGAAATAAATGGCAAGTTTAGCCATCAGAAGAGGCCTGAGTTTAAAAAGCCTCAAAGCAATCCTGCATAATTGCTATGATAGGTACAGTCACAACCACCAGGTGAAGCTCTTGCCTTAGAAACTGTTATAATATTAAAGTTCTCTAATAGCAGCTCTACTGACGCATACTTGGTGAGATCTGAAATGTCATTTAGCAATGGCACTGCATGTACCCTGGGTGGATACTGCTTACTATATTTAATATTTCACTTTTTTTTTAAAGGAAATATTAAGTATTACTTTTGCAGATTTCTTAAGTCAAAGGAGAGCTCATGGATAAGGAAATGATGGTTAAAATTTCTTGCGTTTGTTAAATGTGTGCAACTCTTGCATGGTTAAAATGTTAAGGAAAATCTCCATCAATTTTAAGGGCAGCTCACTACAAATACATTTAAATACATTCTAGAGAAGGACATTAGAAGCTGATGCTTTTATAGAAAAATCTTGTATTTTAGAAAGATGCACTGAATGGATGCCATATTCTCCCTAGAACAACTGTTCCAGGAACTGCTGGATTCATGCCCAGCACTGATACTGTAAAAATCATTCCATTTACTTACAGTATTTGGGTTTGTTGGAATCTCATCTGTAGGTGATTCAGATAACCAGACTGGAGTAAATTAAGCTATGTTTGTGTTTCATCACAATGAACTAACTGGGGAAGAGAAGGCTGTGAAGTGATCTGATGGCAGCTTTTCAGTTTCTAAAGGAGAGCTAAAGCAAAGAAGGAGACAGACTCTTTTGCAGGGTCTGTGGTGATCAAACAAGGGGAAATGGCTTCAAGCAGGTAGATTTAGGTTGGATACAAGGAAGAAGTCTATTCAGTGCAGGTGATGAGGCACTGGAACAGGCTGTCCAGAGACATGGTTGATGCCCCATCCCTGGAGACTTTCAAGATGAGGCTGGATCAGACCCTGGGCAACTTGATCTAGCTGTGCATGTCCCTGTTCAGTGCAGGGAATTGGACTAGATGACCTTTAAAGGTCCCTTCTAACTCTAAGAATTCAATGATTCTGTGAACATGCTGTTATTTTTAGTAGAAATTGACTCACCTTATCACTGTAGTAGCATTAAAGTTTTGGCATGTATATGAAGACAGTGAATACAACCTTGAAATATATTAAGTTTAGTATACACTACTGACAGAATCTTGTAATAAACCAAGCCCCGAGGGAGGCATGTTGCAGAGGAGGAGGTGGGATTTTCCTATTGCAAAGGAGAACATTATGAAATTTGTCCTTTTTTTGTCTCATGAAGTTAAATTTCTAGCCGAAGGAAATGGTTGCAAGAAAGATCCCTAAAGACAGAGATCACATATAGGTAGAAACATTTTATCTTGGAGGGCTTCAGGTCTGACCCCTGGCATACCTCTGTCAATGGATGCAAACCACAAAAGATTTTAGCTGCTGTTTTGGGGGAACGGTTTTATGTTGTAGCTCACTAAAAGCAAGGGCTTTTTTTAGCACTGGGAAAAATACTCTGTTGGTCTGACTTAGATGCTCTCTTTATTTTAATACATTCTGACAGACTTCAGCTACTGTTTAATGACAAGAAATTAAGGAGACTGAAAGTTAATGGAACTGAGTGACCGAGGGGGATCCAAGAGAGTCCTTCAAGTCTTTCTCTGGGCAGCCTGTTCAAGTGCACTCACGCTTCACCCATTTATGTGAAAGGATGCTCTGGGGCCTTTTTGAACTCCACGGCAAATTACCCTGTTATCAAACACACAACAGAAGCCCTTCCTCATCATTAAAGAGCTTCCTACTGGAAGAGAGAGCATGCTTTATTGCAAAAGACAAGCAAACCTTCATCATGTGATATCCCTTCTAATTCACCAGATTAACTGAAGGGTTGCTTTTCCAAGTGAATTAGATCCTTTTTATTTGCATATAGCCATTTATCAAATATCAGAATTGATTCCAGCCTCTCACACTTTGTGTGTTTACATTTCCATACAAATAATAAATTTGGATGGACTGATCAACTTCAGAAATTAATCTGAATTAATTTAACCATCAACACATCTTTGGAAAGAAGCAGGAAGTGCATTGGTCCCTCACACAATGCACTGCCTGGGACAAAAAGGGCTTGCATAAATTTTGAGCAAAATTCTGTTTATCACAGCTGTACATCCTCATTTCCTCTCTTTAGCAGTCCTGCAGTTACATGCTTCATTATTCAAGAGCAGTTTGGAATGGGTTTTCATAACTACCAGTTGCAGCTTCAAAAAGAAATCCACAGAGGTGGCCACATGGTGTCCATGGAGCAGCCCCTGATTATAGTTTCTAAGTGAGGGATTGTAGGACCCCAGCCTTGGGATTTAAAGCCCAAGCCTGAGACCTTTAAGGAGTGAATTCAGGAGACATATTGTGGTTAAAAGCATAGTTCACAATGTGACTTCCAGTCATGTCAAAGAAATGGGATGAGAAATCAGCAGGCAGAACTGGTACCTTCTTCCCCCAGGGGAAATAATTCAATCACACAGATTCATTTTGATTGGTGCAGAGGTCTTCAGTAAAAGTCTCTCCTGCTAGTGACTACTATACTATAAAATCATTAACATTTACCTCAAAGGTGAGAAATGCAAAGGTTAATGACTTAATTCTCTGGGCTTGCTACCTCCATCTCACCCCACCACACCAGGAAGATGAGTGTCCTTCACCAGCCTCTTAATTAGAGGTGGGAATTCCCCAATGTACATCTGTTATGCACAGTCCTGTTCCCTGGCAATGTTTGCAGTAGGCATCACACCAGGAGCACCTCACTGGCATTTCCAGCTGTTGAGTTGGTCGTGACACAGCCAGTTTGGTGGGCCCTACATCCATTTTAAAGCAAGCAGGTCACCTTTTAGCTTAAAGAGCAGTTACACTGAGGCTATGCTAACTGTAAGCTGGTGATTTCATTTGGCTTTCCCAGAGATCCACATCTGTTTTTTAGAAGAATGACAATGCCAACTATGTTTTGCAGGTGGGTAGGACTGTAGTAACTGTGGAAGAACACAGTGGGTGTCATCTAATATTCAGACATCTCAAATAAAGAACTTTGACAGTGGATTCTCCTTTCTCACTCACTGTAACAGACATATCTGGAGTAATGAGAGATTGTAAGACATCTTCCCAGCAGAGCTGCAAATAGCAGCTCCAAGTCACAGACACACAGATCATATTTATACAGTTAAATGTACTTCCTATTTTGGTATGGAAGCCAAACAGATCCAGATGAGTGAAGTTAAACAAGAAACTACTCATTTGCTATGAAGTAAAAACAGAATCCAAAACCCAAAAGTAAGACATTTTGGGGTAAGCACAGGTTAGTAAGAGGTGAAACGAAATGATTTCAGACACAATTTAAATTGGGTCTCCAAAGCTAATGACTTATAATCAGTTACCAGCATAGAATGACAGTGTCCATCCCACAGCACTGTTTTTAACACAAATCATTAAGAGGCATAAAAGCAATACTCTTCTAAGCCATATACATTTTTATTCTCCACCCAGGCCAGCAAGGGTGGGAAAAGGGAATGCAATTAAAAATAACAATCAGCAAACACACACTATCTTTACTTAAAATTTCAGACTAGAGCAGCCAGAAACACACTCAACAATCAGAATCACTGGAATTCCCTGCAGTTTGGCAGTGGCACATAAGCAGAAATTATTTTTGAGTTTCTGAAAGCAAAAGTAGAACAAGACAAAAACTTGTGCTTTCTTCTATTAC